CCCATGTGGTGGCTCACAACTATCCATAACTATAGTTCCAGGGGATCCAATGCCCTCTTCTGCACTCCATGGGCACCAGGCACACATATGGTGAACAGACATGCATGTAGGCAAAACACTCATACACAAAAATTAATCTTAAAAAGAACAGTTGAGCATGATGTTGCATACCTTTAATCTCAGTACTCAAGAAGCAGAAATAGGTGGTTCTCTGTGGGTTCAAAGCCAGTTTGGTTTACATAGTGAGTTCTAAGTCAGCTAGGACTATACAGTGAGACCTTGTCTCAAAAAACAAATGAACAAAATTAAAATATAAACTCTTTTGCAAACAAGTGAATTGGACATAGTAATTATATTAATAATAATTATATTTTAATTATATTAAGACATATAAAGATCTGAATGGATATAAATTGATAACTATCTACAAACACAACCACCTACACCAAAGGGTAAGAGGCCTTAAACCCTCAACAGCTCCACTTAATTCTCAAGGTACTGCTCATATTCCTAATATGCTCATATTCCTAATATGCATATTTGTATTTCCTATGTAGGTGTTTCATGAATTAATGATTTGCATAGTGTGGACTTGACATTCCTGCTCAGGTGTCTACCAGGTATCTGGAGCTCAGAATGTCTGGGGAGATTATTTCTCGAAATCTTGTAGACCTTCTCTGACTTCCAAACTTTGGTTGATGGCAACCCAATCCTTCCGGGCACTCAAGGTCCCAAACCCCAAGTTTCTTTATCTATTGCCCTTTGTCTCACACCCTGAATCCGTTCTCCAAGCAAAGTCTTGTTGTCTCTATTCAAAATTTAGACTGAAATTACTTCTTCTAACCCTGAGTTACTAGGATAGCCTAACTGCCCTTCCTGCCTAAAGTTTATTTATAGCAAACCAGCTAAAATAGTCCTCCCTATGGACGTTACCAGAGAGACAAGACTCTTCAACAATAGCATTTTTGATGAGAAAAAGTCACAAGGTCCAGACATAGGGAATGAGTAGAATAAGTCATGGCTCATTTTGATGCAGGACTGTTATGATTCATCAACTATTTTAAGGACTATTTAATAATCTGGGGAAACAACATGCTAAGTGAAAGCTAATGTTAAGTCTTACTGCACTGGATGCTTCTCCAAAGACATCATGTGTAAGTTAAATGACATAATTTGTATAATGTCTTACATAATAAAAAATTCACAATATGTAACTTTTATTCCTCTCTCCCCAGAATGTCCTTCTTTGCTCCAAACCATCCTTCCATGCTTCCTGACTGAGGACCTTCTCAACTGCCGTAACTATTCCCACTGCTCTACCCTTCCTTTGGGGCTGGGCTTCCCGAAGGCAGATGCTTTGCTGCCTATCGCCGCTTGGGCTATGTAGAAACCATTTTATACTGTCTTCCCTTCTTAAAGGGCAACTCTTCCTCGCTAAGCATTCCCTTTACTTCTCTAGTCAACTCTCTTAGGACATCTAGTCGTCTTTCTAGCCCTCGCCTTCCCACGCCTCCCTTCTTCCCTGTACAAGATGAATGCAGCCATTTAAAAATTCATCCGTTATTGTGTGTGTATGATGTGAGTGTGGGTGTGAGCATGCCGCATGGGAGAGTGGAGGCCAGAGGCTGTGGGGTCTCGCAATGAACTCAGGTGATCAGGATGGTACAGTCAGTGCTTTACCCTTTGAGCCATCTTGCAAACCCCCTCCCCTTCTTGAGATGAGATCTTCAGAGTGGCCTCAAGCTCATGGTCCTTTCCTTAGCCTCCTAAGTGTTGCAGTGCTGGGATTATAAGTGTGTGCTCTACACCTGCCACACTATATTAGTGTGTGCTCTACACCTGACTCACTGTATTAGGTAAGGAACCGCATACTTTTGTGCCTTCGTGACAGTGCACACCTATTCATACTTGCTGGGCTGTAAAGTTCCTTTGTAAGGTTGACTCTCTTACAGGACAGCAAGTCTCATGAAAACAAAGAACAACAAAACCCCCACATCTTTCCTCCTTCCTGCTGGATCTCCACTTCCATTGAGGAAGTATCTGGAACATAGAAAGAGTATCACAGTCACTTCAAAGTATATTTAGGGGCTGAAGAGATGGCTCAATGGTTAAGAGCACTTGCTACTCTTGCAGAAGAACCAGGGTCAGTTCCCAGCCACCCACTGGTGGCTCACAACAATCCATAACTCCATTTCCAGGGGATCTGACCTCTGAGGGTATCAAGCATGCATGTGGTGCACATACATACATGCAGGCAAAACCTGCATACCCATCAAAACAAATCTAAATCTCCTTAAGGGGAGAGGTCTTATTTTATGGTCATGTTTCTACTGCCTGTGTGCTTGGTATGCAATGGATGACAAGAAGTTTTATTGCTCATTTGTAAGTGCAGAAACAGCTACCACTTGATTATCTGTGATAAGGCATTCAAATGAAACTGATATCGAAACAGCTTCTTTCTTCTTATCAATCTTTCCTCACTTTTAAGACTAAAGAAAGTACTTTATATTTCCTTGTTTTTTCCTAGGCAAACTGCCCCTTCTGGAAGAATCTGTGCAGAGCCAGAGTTACTTGTGATTCTGCATTAAAGGCTATGGCATTCTCCTTTTGATGCTTAGGTATTTGTTCCAGTTTGGTTTCTATTGCTGTAATAAAGACCACGACAAAAAGCAACCTGGGGAGCAAAGTTATCTCATCTTACTTCAGGTAACAGTCCATTCCTGACTTATGTCAGGGCAGGAACCTGGAGACAGGATCTGAAGCAGAAGCCATGGGTTTGCTTCTTACTCGCTCAGCTGCTTTCTCATACAACCCAGGACTACCTGCTCAGGAGCGGCACCATCCACAGTGAGCTGGACCCTCCCACCCCAATCATCAGCATGAAAATGCTCCACAGATTTGCCTACAGAAATTCTAATGAAGGCATTTTCTCAATTAATATCCCTCTTCTCAGATATGTCTAAGTTTGTGTGATAATTTGAATAAGAATGGCTCCCAAAGGCTTATTCATTTGAATGCTTGGACCGCAGGTGGTGGAAGTGTTTGGGAAGGATTAGGAAGTGTGGCCTTGTTGATGTTTTATTGTGGGCTGGCTTTGAGGTTTCAAAAGTCCATGTTACAGCCACTTAGCTTTCTGCCTCCTGCTTGTGAATCAGATGTGAGCTCTCAGCTTCTGCTCCAGTGCCATGTCTGCTTGCCTACTGTCATTCTCCCTGTCACGATGGCAATGGACTCACCCTCTGAAACTCTAAGTCCCTAAATGCTTTCTTCTGTAAGTTACCTTGGCCATGTGATTTGTCACAGTAGTAGAAAAGCATCTAAGTCTGTATCAAGTTGACAGAACCAACCAGCAGTGTTTAAACTGTTTTCTCTCTCCAGCCAAGTGAGGAAGGACTCTCTTTCCTTTTACTTCAACACTAACCTCTAAAAATATTGGTGATCAGATGCATTAAAATGCACACAAAGGTTTATAGAACTTACTGAGGGTAGGATGGCATGGAACAGTATAAGCAGAATTAAAAAAAATCTTTCAAATGAGTAATTTTCAATTTTGTTGTCTGTCTGGAAATAATTGATTAACAGGTAGGCTCTTACTTGTTAGCCAGGCTGGCCTAACTTTCAGTAATCCCTTGTTTCAGCCCTTCAAGTGCAGGATTACAGGAGTGAGTCACTGTGGCGGTCTGATTGAGAGTGCTCCACATAGGCTCATGTATTTGGATATCTGGTCACCATTTGGTGGTGAGGTTTAAAAACAAAATTAAAAATGCACATACACACACAATATTAGGAGGTGCGGCTTGCTGAAGGAAGTATGCCACTAGGTTGGGCTTTCAGAGTTCAAAGACTCATTTATAGGTTGTTCTCTCTGCTTCATGCCTATGGATCAAGATCTGAGCACTCAGCTTGCTGTTCCAGCTGCCATGCTTGACCCTTCCCTGTGACAGTGATGGCATCTTGTCCCTCTAGAACCATAAGCCCAAACAACCCTTCCTTCTATATGGAGTCTCAGTCATGGTGTTTTATCACAGTAATAGACAAGTAACTAATACAACCACCATATCTGGCTCTGGTAGAATTTTGGAAAATAAACTTAGCTTGAGATGAGAACAATGGCAGATTTATTAGCTAGCTATTGACACCTGCTTATTTAGTAAAGGAAGAGAGGCAAATCAAATATAACTGAGTGAATTACACAGAAGTGAATGACTGTAAAGTGGTGCCTTTTTGATATGAAACAAAAACTAAAGTCTAGATTAAGAATGTACTATAGGAGCTGGGTGGTGGCGTCACACACCTTTAACTCCGGGACTCAGGAAGCAGAGACAGAGGCAGGTGGATCTCTGGGTTCAAGGCCAGCCTGGTCTACAGAGTGAGTTCTAGGACAGCCAGGGCTACAGTGAAACCCTGTCTTGAAAAACAATAAAACAAAACAAATGACTATCGGTATATAAGATGATACTAATGAAGAAATTTGGGTCACACACACACACACACACACACACACACACACACACACACACACTATTAGACTTACAAAGTGGCAGCCTATTTTTTTCTTGTGTATGTGAGTAATGTGCATTTGTGTTCACATACATGTGGGTGTTTGCCACCATATTCACTGAGGCAGGGTTTTCCAGTTGAACACAAAGCTCATGGATGTGACTTGTCTGGTTAGCCAGCCTGCCCTGGAGACCCTGTCTCTGCTTTCTAATGCTAGCATTACAAATGAACTCCACACTTGCCTGGCATTTATGTGGATTCTGGGCATACGAACTCTGGTTTTCATGCCACATCAAGTGCTTTAGTTGTGGACCCATCGCCTTAGCCCAAGCAGCCCATTAAAAGATCTTTCTATTCTCTGAAAATTTCATATATGCACATAATGTATTTCGATCTTATCTACCCCCACCCACTACCTCCCTCTACCTTCCCCCTGGGAACTCCTAGTCCATTCTCCTTTCAACTTTAAAATTATTAGTAGTAATAGTCCTGACCAATTATTAGCTCTGATTTATTTTTATTATGTTTAATTATGCATATATGTGTGTCTCTGTGTGAATATGTACATATGAGTGCAGGTGCCCAATGAGGCCAGAGGTGGCAGATTTCCTTTGAGCTGGAGTTACAGATGGTTGTAAGCCACAGAAGGTGGGTGCTAGGAGTCAAACTTCAGTCCTTTGAAAGAGCAGTATGTGTTCTTAACCACTGAGCCATCTTTCCACCCCCGACTCCAATTATTGTTGACCATATGTACACAGGTGTGGGGCCACGTGCTGGGGCACGGCCACGTCTACAAAGCAGTTAGTCTCCTTTCTTCAGCAGCCAACAACTGTCAATAGCTCTTGGTTACAAGGGTTGAGGTCTCAGGAGTTCCTCTGCCATCCATGCTGAATTTTTGGTTGGCTTGATCTTGTGCAAGCAAATACAACTTTTAACAGCTTATTTTTAATGTTTGAACTAATGATGTTTCCAGATATGTGTTCCAAATAAAGAAACATAGTATTGCTTTTGCCAAGACAAATTTGTCTAAAAATATGGAAAGAGAAACATGAAAAACACATTAATGCCATTAAGAGAAATTCATGTTTAAAATATATCAATTTTCACCTATTACAATAGTAGAAATAGCTGGGTGGTGGTAGTGCATGTCTTTAATCTCAGCACTCAGGAGGCAGAAGCAGTCGGATCTCTGTAAATTTAAGGCCAGCCTGGTCTACAAATAGAGTTCTGGGATGGCCAGGACTGTTAACAAAAGAGAAACCCTGTCTCAAAAAACAAACAAACAAACATAATAGTAGAAATAAAAAAGTATAATACTTGAATCAGGTACGTAAACACAGCAATGAGTATTTGTTATTAAAAAAGGAAAAAATTTATTTCTTGCCATCATCAAGGAAAACTATGATTTGTTGTGGAAAGAATAAATATTCACAGATCCAGCCATCTCATTCTCCAAAACTGCATAAACATTTGCAAAAATTTCCTTCATCTATTAATATGTCCCCAGAGCAGCCAGCCCACACAGACCTGGGGCATTCACATGTCAAAATATTCCATAAAGATCTGGGAACAGATATTTTTGGCAGAAAGAAATAGTTAATGTGCAGAGAAAGACTGCCTACGATACAATCCAGGGTCATAGACCGAGTCAGGAACTCCTTGTAATGACAAAATGTTAGTGTCAGTCTACAACATTCTCCACAAGATTCGAATCATTTGATCTCAGGCTCTTACAACAAGAGGTGCAGCTGTTGTTTTTCTTGCCAAAGAGATGGCGAAATATGAAGGAACAGCAAGAGTGAACTTCTAAAGCTGCTTCAGAACTCTACCTCAATGCTTATTTTTTACAGAAAAAGAAAGCCAGGTGTGGTGGTGCATGCCTGTAATCCCAGCCCTGGAGAGGCTGCCGCCTTAGCCGACCTGGTGAGTTCCAGGTCAATGAGAGATTTAATGTCTTAAAAAAGAACCAAGGAGTATGGCTCCTGAGGAACAACACCCAAGGTTGTCCCCCATGTATGCCAAGTGTGTGTGTGGACAGATAGACAGATACACACACAGTTTGTCTTAGCACACTTTCCCCTGTGTGCTGAACCTTCAGGATTAATGCCATAGTGACAGCCCCAGGGACGTTAAGGTTGATCAAGCCTTTGATGTCTCAGTGGGATGGGCAATCCAGAAAGTCCTTCTAGAAGCCATTAGACAAAAACCTAACACAGAATCTGTGGGCTTATTCGTGGGTTTCTGAAATCTGCAATCTTTGTAGGTGGGAGGTTGCGTCCAAGAGCATTTTGTGCCCTTTCCCCCAGAAACCTGCTCAGCTATCACTTCCTGCCAGAGGTCTTCTCTGATCATCTTCCCCAGCCAGAGACCTCACCCTCAAAATTTTCTCCTCATTGCTTGCTGCTGAGTTCCACGACAGCCTGTCATCACCTTGTTTATCTGCTCAAGTTCACCTGCTCAATTAGAAGGTAAGTTTCTCCGAGAGCGGGATCCGGTCTTCCGGTGCCTTGAACTTTGAACCTGTTGGGTTTCCAGACACTTTGGGATTGAAGGACAGGTCCACGATTTGGGGTGTGTGTGTGTGTGTGTGAGAACGGGTCGTGTGTGTGTGTGTGTGTGTGTGTGTGTGTGAGAACGGGTCTCACTATGGTGATTCAAACTCCCGCGCTCTGCTACAGGCTTCAGGGTACCTGAACCTACAACAGGTGTAGGGCGTCATACCTGGCTTTATGGTGGGAATGGAACCCAGGGCTACAGGCACACCAAGCGAGCACCCGATTAACTGCCCCACAGCCTCAGCTGGGAGTTTCTTTAAAATCAGGTGTTTTCATCTCGTTCCGCCACACCCACCCTTCACATCCTTTCCCACAGTCGGCGCGCCAGGTGTCTCACTTACCCCAAGCCCTCCCGCCAGACCGCTCAGAGACCAAAATTACGGTAAGTGCGGCCTCGCGAGGCTCCGGTACCAACTCTCGGGGCCAGGCCCGGCCTGAGCGAGAGCGAGTCGCCTTCCCTGCCACCCGCTCCATCCTCTGATGCGACCCCCGGCGCCCCGCCGGCCAGGCTGCAAGCCTATGTGTGGCGCGCGCCGG